GGTAACCCGACACCGCCAGATAGGCCCGCGATGACTGGCTACTCGCACCCGCTGTCGTTCTTTTTGCATATAGATCTAGTGAAAATTTCTTTCTCTTCACGGCTTAAAATTTCCAGAGTCTTGTGCGGAGCGAAATGTAATTGTACGATTTCTGCAAAAAAAAAAAAAAAAAAAAAAGAAGTTGTGGAAGTGGGCAACGAATTTTCTAATTTAGCAGCCAAAGCGAATATTTCAATTCTAGGTCGCTGACAGAACAAAAACGGCAGGGCGTGTCTTTCGAAGGCCCGCCTTCCAGCAAGCGCTCCATGCCTTCCGCCATGCTTTTGCTGCGAGCGCGCGCGCTCGAGGCGCACGAGACGTTGAAGCATTGTCGAAAGCAGGAAGCACGCGTTGGAGGTGGGACAACTGAATCCCCTTCCTGCCGTTCGCACCTTGTCAGTGATTACATTGAAGGTAAGATGAGAAATTTACTCATTACCGCCTTGCATTCCTGACCCCATGTCCGCTGCGGCGAATAAATTTAGCCCGGAGATATTGTGTATTTATTTCGAGTGCCTTTCTTTAAAAATTATTTTCGAGCGTAGGTGAAACATCCCCGTAAACAGGTAAACACGGCAACACCACACGTGCGCAAAACGTGGATTAAAACGTGACTTTACCCAATCCCCGTACGTTCACTACACATCTTTCCTAAAAAAGAAAAAGAAAAAAAAGGTTATTTGATTGCAGTTTTAATTTTTATTTGTTTTCCTAGAGCCTCGGAGAAATAGACACCCGTATTTCGCAATCTCCAAATTGGATCCTTCTTTTATATAGAGCCATTACAACACGTCTGTTTCGAAAAACTCCCCCAAAAAAGCTCAGACGGATCGGCCTAAGTTTACAAATTTCCAGCGTCCGAGATGATATATAGGATCGCGAATATAGTCCGCCGGATATTCATTGCATAAAACGAGATCACACATTTATTTAACCACTATTTCGAGGTAATATTGTTCTTCTGAACCTGCCTATAAGTTGTTGCAGATATGCTCTTTTTTATTCCTTAACGCGTGTCGCATATATACTGCAATACACGTTTCCAAGCCGCTTGCATTCAACACGGCAGGCTGTGCCGCGTTGAATGCTATACTTCGTTTCCGCTTCAGTCCAGACTCCTGACGCAGTCGACCGCTACGAGCTGATGGAACCAATCAGACAACGGCAAAAGGGCACTATCATGGTGTTCCTTATGTTTCTGTACGTGTTCTATCATCGCTAAACCAATCATAAAAAAAGGTCCAATGAGGTACGCTTTTGACGCTTCTTGATTGGTTCCGCTAGCTCGTCTCGTCGGCTGTGTTTGGACTTACGTTGAAACGAAGTATAGCGGCTCGGAGCTATACTCCGATTCGCTAACAATAGACGAAAGAGGACGCTACAAAAAGCCAATCCAAAGCCGTGCGAAAGTCACGCGACCCTCGAGAGAGGGGGCAGCGACGCGTGGGGAGCGCTGTCACGTGTTACTTTCCCAGAGCTGGATTGACTGGGATTGGCTCGTAGAGTCTGCTCACGTCCATCGTAAGTCGAAACGGTGTATAGCGAAGACGTCAGGGGCAAGTATGTAAAGTTGGTGTTTTTTTTGTTTTTTTTCGGCACGTATATGGCTTTTCAATTTTCCCGTCGGGGTGCGCACGGTTTCGAAGTCCTCGAATTGGCGTTTTTGTTGCGCAACGTTCAATATCTAGCGATGGAAGGGCAATATTGCACGAGGCTGGTGGGATGACAGTGACGTAAGTGGGGCGTCTTCGTTCGGAAGTTGCACGCAAACAAGGCGTGAAAAGGGAAAAAAAAAGTAAACATGCGCAGACCACGGCAACGTGTACAGGTAATCGAGAAGTGACGATAACAAAAATATAACAGCAAAAAAATGTTTTTGATTCCTGGAAAACTTAAAGCGCACGCGCAAGCGCGAAAAAAAATAAATATATGCATATAAACTGAATTTAGCCAGCATATCGGGTGCTCGCACCCGACTGTCGTAAAACGGCAACTAAAAGAAAAAAAAAAGTGTGCTTTCATAATGCTGGTTCGGATGACTCGCAGATTGAAAAAGGGGCACCGTGAAACTGGATCGAAAGTGCGTGCACGTTCCCTATTTAATGAATGCCCCCTCCTGTTTTATTTTGATCTCTCCTCGCGATCTTTTAGCAAATTGCCAACAGAGCGCAAGAAACGCTCGGTGAGCGGTTGCGACGGGGGTCGAAAATTTATCCGCAGAAACTCCATAAAAAAAAACAAAAAAACAACGCAGTGAAGCAAGCAAGAACCACCAAGCAACTGCTGTCACAAAGCGACCCCTATGCACTCAACATCTGACGTCATGACATTACGTCAGAGTGCGGGTGCGAATTGTACTAGAGCAATCTGTCAGCGTTCGTGCCCAAAATATATCTCACTCCGCAAACAAAAATCCAACGACCTTGGCGACGTTGGATTTTCGCGTCTTACGCAAAAAACATCAGGAAAATCCCGCTGAAATTTATGAATTATGTGTTAGATAATTTCTTCCCAGAAGTGCAAAAAAGTAATGAAAACTATGAAACAATTTAAATTACTTAAAGTTTGCTAAATAATAATAATAATAATAATAATAATAATAATAATAATAATAATAATAATAATAATAATAACACCGTCGTTGTGATGACAATGCAATTAATGCAAGGGTGAAAGCGAGCTGGGCATGTGTGGAGAGGTTTCTGGTTCGACACCAGGACCAGGCGGATTCTTTTTTTCATTTGCGGATCAGTCATTTAGTTGTGTTCAGAGATTTGTGTCTGTCTTTTGTCCCTCTAGTTCCCTTCCACCAGGGAATATTATCGTTACCGGCTTTGGTTTACTGAAAATTGCTGGAAGTGTCTTCAACCGCAAATTTCAATGCACCAAACTAACCCTTCTGTCGTGCAAACATTTAAACACAAAGAAAGCTTTTCCTTATGCAAAAATACAAAAAAAAAAAACTAAAAAAACTCCGACGTTTTTGTTCGGAGCTGTGAGTTGACGTTCTTGGCAGTGACAGGGCTATGTTTGAAGTTTCACTTGTTAAAGAGAGCGTAGTATGGTGTACACAGAGTTTAATATATCTATTCTTACCTGCCTAAAAAAAAAAAAAAAAAAAAAATTACTTAGTATTGGGTGTTTGAAGCAAATATTCACAGCTAAACAACTTTTAGCGAAAAAAACACAACCTACGATGGACGGCATCGGAACTCAATAAACAAGAGTGTTTTATTTCACGTTGCGCATTTGATTTAAACAATAATAATGGAAAAAACGAGAGTGCCTAAATGAGACCTAATTTAAAGGTTCGGAAGTCAATTTGCAGCCTTGGCCATTAACAATGAGGGATGCGCCTACCACGGACATTGTAACCACAACTAAAAAAAAAAAAAAAAAAAGCTGACAAGACACACACACTAAGATTTGCATGCAATTCTAATCAAGAAGCAAAACATAAGTGAATAAATATATAAATAAATATGTTTGCAGTCTCGAGTATGTTCCGCTCAGGATGCCCCCCTCCCGGGAAGCCATTCCAGTCAGGCGAAGCCCAGTGTTTGAGCTCCGAGGCCTGAAGCGTGCGTGCAGGATGGGCGCGCTAAGGGCTCTCCAGGCGCTCGTTTTCTCGGGGTTTAAGAGGCAGGACCCCAATTGAAAGGTGGCGTGACCGAGGCGGTAGGGCGACGCTGGGCGTTCCCTCTACGCCGATCACAAAGGTCTGGCCACAACAGGCGAACGCACGCTCGACAGATTGGTACCAAGAGACTCGGCGTCGCACGCCACCTGCTGGACGTCGCACGTCGCGGTCACGCCTACCGAATCAGGCTGTGGGGAACGCGGCGTCCAAGTCAGTCGTCGCGTTGGAGCAGCGCGTAACCTGGGTTCCGATTGTGGTCACTGCCAGAGCGAAATCGAATTGGGCTCTCACGGAACGAGCTAAGACAGCGTGCGCGGACGGTTCGTCTTCTACGAAGCGGATTCAGCATGACGAAAATAAACAAGAAAACACCGTACGTCAAATGCTAACAAACCTAAAAAAGAAGAAAAGAATAGTCTGCTACAAAGCGAGCGCCGTGGTGAAATGAGATCGAACGCCACCTGGAATTGTAATCGCCTGCTTTTTCACGTTAAGCCCATTGCCAACCCGCTCTTCTCTTCCAAGTCTCAGGTCGTTCTTCTGCTATACACAAGCCAACGCCGACCGGTAAATGAAGCAGTACAAGGGACAAGCAGATCAGAGACCGCGAGACCTCACTGGCAATTTGTGTGTTGGTGTAACGTTCCCACCAATATACCGCGCCATCGCAAATTCTCGAATGGGTCAAGCACGAAGATTTCGGTCAAGGCAAGAGCTCTCGCTCTTACCTTGACCGAAATCGGGGCCCTGCAGTAGTACTTTTCCGTGCGGGTGTGAACACGTTGAACAAGTCATACGCAACATGTAGAACGTGTGCTACACGAGGGTCGCGTCAGCGTCTCGCTGGGTCTCGTTTTTCTCATGAAATTACGAGTTCGAGCGGAACGATAACTCGGCATATGTGCTTAATCGGTGCTCTGCGTTGGCCTCATGTGGGGGACGCCGAAACTTGGGCACTCGGGCCTTGCTATCAATGAGGCGCTGTGCGAAGCAGCAGAATGAACTGAAAGACGCAATTTTTGTTCCCGCGAAAAGCGTTTGTCATGCCTGATGGTTGTCGCTACTTGTAAAAGAAAGCATTAAGGGACCTTAACGGTTATTTGAAACTTGTAGCGAGCACGCCCAGGGATCAACGCACTCAAAATAAGGCGTCCTTATACACCAGTCCAGTAATCGCTTTCTGGGAGCCAGAATTATAATCCTCTAATCCACTGGGTTGTAGATCACGTCCCGAGCATGCCCAATAGGTCACACCGGCAAAATATCGTATTGTGCGTCCACGGCCCGGAGTTGTGGGTGGGCTGATAAATTGGGAGCGTACTCACTTCCAGTCGAGATCGAGCGGCGTGTCGGTGCAGCTGGTGAGCACGACGTCAGTGGGGTCCGAGCTGCCTGTGCGCGCCGTGTAGGCCGGGTACAGGGGGTCCCCCGGGTAGCCGGCCTCGTTGAACACGCCGTAGCGTAGGTGGGCCCACTCGCGGACGAACACGCGCTCTGCGATACGCAAACAAGCGCACACAGCGCGCAGCGATTGGTCGGATGAAAAGCGTCTTCGGACACAAAAAAATATTAATAAAACAAATAAGGTGACTGTATATTGTCGACGTGAGTGGCCAGAAGCGTCCGTGTGCAATAGGCATTTCTACAATTAGCTGGACACTCACCGTGACGTCCTAGAAGCGATTAGTTCTGCTTTCAACGATGGAAAATAGGAATAATGTCAGCCTGTCGGACCATGAAATAGGTGTAACTATACTCGGCGACAACTTTCTTTGGAAATGCAGTGGAGGGTACAGGGACGCGTTCCCTCTCCCATTTCCAGCGCTGGATAAGGCTGTGCGCGGGCTCTCCTCAACTTCTACCGCATTGCCAAGAAAAGTTGTCGCCGAGTATAGGGTGTCTGGAATGCGTCTCCGACTGGTGTTTCCCGCGTCCTCAAGTTTAGTCCCACGATTTCCCCCTGATGACGTGAGTAAGGGTCGGGGAACCGCCGCCGACGACATCACGCGCGGGCCTTGTCTTCTAGGAGGCATTGGTTTCAGACGCCCTAGTTGACTTTTGGAACCATGACAGAACATCACATGACAAAACAGCACGCGACCAAATAGCACGTTACAAAACAGCACGGCGTCAAAACGGCACAGCGACTGAAGAGCACGTGCCAAAACAGCACGGCGTCAAAACGACACAGTGTAAAAACAGCACCACGACAAAACAGCACAGCGTCAGAACAGGACATTGACAATATAACTAGGGTTTGGCCTTTTCGATTTTTATTTTGAAATTCGGCGTACTTTTTTTGTTTCTAAGTCCAAACAGAAGTTTTCGGTTTATTGAGATGTATATTTGTAGACCCATAACTTTTCAGTTCTTTTCGGTTTATTGACGAAAACCAGTATACTGACAAAAATGGAATAGATTTTAAAAGCGTTTGTTTAAAATGTATAGTGAGTAAACCATGTACTGGTTTTCTTATTTGTTGCAATTTGTGGCAGCCGACGGGACCTGTTCTGCAAAACGCACTGGGGCCATATCGTGATTTGACATTATCGTCCTGTGCTTGTATTTGTACACAGGACGAACATGATCTTCACTACCTTTGCTGTCGGAGAGGAAAATATAAAAATCCAGAAATTCGCAAGCATTGCACTCAGTGTGTTTTCCCCCCATTTTCATGACTGCGAGAGGTGGTTAATTCGCGCCGACCACAGAAACGACAATAAAACAATCGTATTTATGCCCTCCTCTAGTAGACGGAAGCTAGAGCTGTTAAAAAATGTGCGTCATTTACGAACGCCCTTGAGCTTCATTGTTCAGTTAATAATTAAACTCTCTTCTTTGAAGAAAGAATTCGGCACACAAATCTTTATCAAGTACAAAAGCCCAGATTTCGTCCTGAAGACACCTGCGCCCCTGGAGCTTTTGTTGAAAGTTGAACTGATCTCGAAGACGAGATGAAAACTGCGAAAGGAAGGGGTCATACGGTCAGTAATGAGTCACCCCCCCCCCCCCCCCCACCTTCCCCACCCACCCACTCACCCCTCCAAAGTCCTCGAAAATACTGCTCTTTTTCAGTAAAAACCGAATTCGGAAAAATGAATTCGGCGTAAGTTTACCGGTTTTATTCGGTTTAAGCCGAAAACGATGAACCCTAAATATAGCGTATGGAGTTAAAAAATGCATGTGTCAAAGTAGGCACTGTAAAAGAATGGAGGGTCTAGGCCAGTTCGTCGAAAGCCAACTTGTCGACGGCCAATTTGTCGAATAGGTCAATTCGTAATAGGGCAATCCGTCGAAAGGCAAATTGTGGAAGAGGCCAACTGGTCGCCGCTTTATCAAAACCAATATATATAATTTTTGTCTTGAAAAAGTAAAGCAAATATTGCGCTATATATAGTAATGCGTAAAATCGCCGCACGATAATTGACTTTCAGTGCGGTCTTACTTGTCGAAGAGAACAACTTCTCACCACTATCATGAGAGCCAAATTAGATGCTATATTGCAGTTAGTGTTGCAGAGTTTGGTAAGCACTGAAATAGGCAATACATTTTTTTAGAACCTAGCGGCAATAAATGAATGGGTCAAGGAGGTTCGAAATTATTCGCGCAGAGAAAGGCGAAGAGCGCGCTCGAAGTTGCTACATGCGTGCTGCTTTGTCGCTGTGGTGTCTTGACGCCGTGCTGTCTTGGCACGTGCTCTTCTGTCGCTGTGCGGTTTTCACGCTGTGCTCTTTTGTTGCATGCTATTTTTGCGCTGTGCTGTTTTGACGCGTGCTGTTTTGACGCCGTGCTGTTTTGACGCCGTGCTGTTTTGACGCCGTGCAGTTTTGACGCCGTGCAGTTTTGACGCCGTGCAGTTTTGACGCCGTGCAGTTTTGACGCCGTGCAGTTTTGACGCCGTGCAGTTTTGACGCCGTGCAGTTTTGACGCCGTGCAGTTTTGACGCCGTGCAGTTTTGACGCCGTGCAGTTTTGACGCAGTGCAGTTTTGACGCCGTGCAGTTTTGACGCCGTGCAGTTTTGACGCCGTGCAGTTTTGACGCCGTGCAGTTTTGACGCCGTGCAGTTTTGACGCCGTGCAGTTTTGACGCCGCGCAGTTTTGACGCCGCGCAGTTTTGACGCCGCGCAGTTTTGACGCCGCGCAGTTTTGTCGCCGCGCAGCTTTGTCGCCGCGCAGTTTTGTCGCCGCGCAGTTTTGTCGCCGCGCAGCTTTGTCGCCGTGCAGCTTTGTCGCCGTGCAGCTTTGTCGCCGTGCAGCTTTGTCGCCGTGCAGCTTTGTCGCCGTGCAGCTTTGTCGCCGTGCAGTTTTGTCGCGTGCTGTTTTGTCGCGTGCTGTTTTGTCGCGTGCTGTTTTGTCGCGTGCTGTTTTGTCGCGTGCTGTTTTGTCGCGTGCTGTTTTGTCGCGTGCTGTTTTGTCGCGTGCTGTTTTGTCGCGTGCTGTTTTGTCGCGTGCTGTTTTGTCGCGTGCTGTTTTGTCGGGTGCTGTTTTGTCGCGTGCTGTTTTGTCGCGTGCTGTTTTGTCGCGTGCTGTTTTGTCGCGTGCTGTTTTGTCGCCGTGCAGCTTTGTCGCCGTGCAGTTTTGTCGCGTGCTGTTTTGTCGCGTGCTGTTTTGTCGCGTGCTGTTTTGTCGCGTGCTGTTTTGTCGGGTGCTGTTTTGTCGGGTGCTGTTTTGTCGCGTGCTGTTTTGTCGCGTGCTGTTTTGTCGCGTGCTGTTTTGTCGCGTGCTGTTTTGTCGCGTGCTGTTTTGTCGCGTGCTGTTTTGTCGCGTGCTGTTTTGTCGCGTGCTGTTTTGTCGCGTGCTGTTTTGTCGGGTGCTGTTTTGTCGGGTGCTGTTTTGTCGCGTGCTGTTTTGTCGCGTGCTGTTTTGTCGCGTGCTGTTTTGTCGCGTGCTGTTTTGTCGCGTGCTGTTTTGTCGCGTGCTGTTTTGTCGCGTGCTGTTTTGTCGCGTGCTGTTTTGTCGGGTGCTGTTTTGTCGCGTGCTGTTTTGTCGCGTGCTGTTTTGTCGCGTGCTGTTTTGTCGCCGTGCAGCTTTGTCGCCGTGCAGCTTTGTCGCGTGCTGTTTTGTCGCGTGCTGTTTTGTCGCGTGCTGTTTTGTCGCCGTGCAGCTTTGTCGCCGTGCAGTTTTGTCGCGTGCTGTTTTGTCGCGTGCTGTTTTGTCGCGTGCTGTTTTGTCGCGTGCTGTTTTGTCGCGTGCTGTTTTGTCGCGTGCTGTTTTGTCGCGTGCTGTTTTGTCGGGTGCTGTTTTGTCGGGTGCTGTTTTGTCGCGTGCTGTTTTGTCGCGTGCTGTTTTGTCGCGTGCTGTTTTGTCGCGTGCTGTTTTGTCGCCGTGCAGCTTTGTCGCCGTGCAGCTTTGTCGCGTGCTGTTTTGTCGCGTGCTGTTTTGTCGCGTGCTGTTTTGTCGCGTGCTGTTTTGTCGCGTGCTGTTTTGTCAGGTGCTGTTTTGTCGGGTGCTGTTTTGTCGGGTGCTGTTTTGTCGCGTGCTGTTTTGTCGCGTGCTGTTTTGTCGCGTGCTGTTTTGTCGCGTGCTGTTTTGTCGCGTGCTGTTTTGTCGCGTGCTGTCTTGTCGCGTGCTGTTTTGTCGCGTGCTGTTTTGTCGCGTGCTGTTTTGTCGCGTGCTGTTTTGTCGCGTGCTGTTTTGTCGCGTGCTGTTTTGTCGCGTGCTGTTTTGTCGGGTGCTGTTTTGTCGGGTGCTGTTTTGTCGCGTGCTGTTTTGTCGCCGTGCAGTTTTGTCGCCGTGCAGTTTTGTCGCCGTGCAGTTTTGTCGCCGTGCAGTTTTGTCGCCGTGCAGCTTTGTCGCCGTGCAGCTTTGTCGCCGTGCAGCTTTGTCGCCGTGCAGCTTTGTCGCCGTGCAGCTTTGTCGCCGTGCAGTTTTGTCGCCGTGCAGTTTTGTCGCCGTGCAGTTTTGTCGCCGTGCAGTTTTGTCGCGTGCTGTTTTGTCGCGTGCTGTTTTGTCGCGTGCTGTTTTGTCGCGTGCTGTTTTGTCGCGTGCTGTTTTGTCGCGTGCTGTTTTGTCGCGTGCTGTTTTGTCGCGTGCTGTTTTGTCGCGTGCTGTTTTGTCGCGTGCTGTTTTGTCGGGTGCTGTTTTGTCGGGTGCTGTTTTGTCGGGTGCTGTTTTGTCGGGTGCTGTTTTGTCGGGTGCTGTTTTGTCGCGTGCTGTTTTGTCGCGTGCTGTTTTGTCGCGTGCTGTTTTGTCGCGTGCTGTTTTGTCGCGTGCTGTTTTGTCGCGTGCTGTTTTGTCGCGTGCTGTTTTGTCGTGTTCCCGAGACTTTTAGACCTGGGTCTGGGCCTTACCGGGGGGTCCGTACATGGCCGCCTTGGGGCCTCCCTCGTCCACGAGGCGCAGGAAGCCCGCGCTGAGCACCAGCCTTTTGGCCTGCAGGCCGCAGCCCGCGTGCTGCACCGTGAACGGGTTGTCGCCGAAGGGGCTCCCCTGGGGCTCGAGCCGCACGTCGGCGTCGCGGTGCAGCTGCCAGCCCGTGCGCGACACGGACGGTGTCGGGGCCCGGGCCCAGGTCTCCTTGGGTCCCCAGGACTTGGGCACGAGCACGATCACCTCCTCCAGATAGGCCCGGTTGCGGCTCGACTGGAACAGGCTGATGGATGCGTTGCGGAGCAGCGCCTGCGGTGTCGGAGGACCAGGGGTGGGACGTCAAGCTCACGCTTAGAAAAAAGGCATTAAACATTCTTTTTAATGCGAAAACATTACCTATCCCATGAAGCGGAGTCGGTGCGTCTGTAACCGCGAAGGAACGCGAAAGAAATGCCTATTCTCCCGTTGGCTGAGCGAAACGGCTCCTAGATAACCACTGGTGGCCGCTTCACGAGAGCGCGCTCGGCCGCCCCTCTCGCTCCAAGCGTTCCTAGAAAAGAGGGGAGGGGCGGAGGGGCTTTCGGCTATTTTGGGCTGGCTTGCTAGAACAGCGTCTCAGCCGAGACTCGATGAAAGAAAGCACTGCAAAGGCTGGGGCTCGCGAGTGTCTTAAGACGCGGCAAGAGTTCCGCTCAGCTCATGCGCTGCCTTTGTCTGTGCTTTCCTTTCCCCCAGTCTCAGCTGAGACGCTGTTTCTAGCAAGCCGGCCCTGCTCCTCTCGGCGCCGAGGAACATGGCGCCGCCTGAGGCATCTACATCGTCCTCGGCCGCGACCTCGGCAGTAGCGAAACGGGGCCCTCCACGCCAGTACACCGCAGACGAACTAAGGGAGAGGAGGAACAACATTCATGCTTTCGCACTCACAACTCATAAGAAGTGCTTAGGTGTGCGCTGAATTTTTTTATTTTTTTTTTATTTTGTCTATTGGGTTTTTAATATTGTCGAATTTTTTATAGAGCATGAAGTTGGAGTTGGTCTTTCTTTAAAAGTACTGTTTATATTGTACAGAACAGTGCATTGATGAGGTTCACATTAATTTGATTGTTCAAGTACCCGTTTTTTTTTTCAAATAGAGAAAAAAAAGTGAACATCTCTTTAGTTGGTTTAGTCGGATGTTTATGATGGTTATACGCTTTTGAAGTAAAAAGAAAACAACAACATTGACATGGATGAAGAAAGAATAAAACAATTAAAACAGGGACAACACGACCACATCTGTCCCTGTTTTAATTGTTTTATTCTTTCTTCATCCATGACCCAAACCAACACGCTCTTCTCCCAAGCAGAACAACATTGACACACAGCATATTATAACAAGTTTAGGATCCCGGAAAGTTTCACAGGGAACGGGTGATCCATGACGAGGTAATCGCACGCAAAATAATGTGATAGTCCAGATTTCCTCCGTGAGTTTTTGTTTCAGTCATTAAATATTTCCAAAAGTTCTACTAGTTATATTTATGCATTTTCCGATTTTTACGCTTTCTTTTTACGAAATAATGTCAGCGAGATTTTGCGTCTTTTTTTAATCAGACGCGTAAAACGACGTCGATAAATGAAATCGTGATGATTTATCGTTCCGGTTTGACGACGTTCTCAACCAGGATAAATTACTGGAACTAACTTATGCTCGCGAGACGCAACAAACAACGACAACAACAACAACACGATAGTGAGACCGCTCCAGATGGTGCACCGGAAACTAACGACGTTGATCCACCTTCGTAAATCAGCGTCGTGGAGCATGTTCCTTTAACCGAAGCCATTTTTTTTTCACAAACAGCTACACCCAAAAATGAAGGGCAAAATAAATAAATAGAAATAATGGCGTCCTGAGCTGGAAGCTGAAGACTGCAGCGACGATCCTTTTCAAAACGAGCGCAATTCGAGACGACAATCTAAGTCCCACGGAACGAGTAGCTTACGCGCTGCACGCTCGCGAACATTCAAATTTGGGAAAAGATTGAAGTTTCTCGTAGACTCAGGATGTGTGTATTTTTTAAATGTTTGTTTCTTTTGAGGCTACCAACAGACGCAATTTCGGACAACGACGACGACGAGCAGTATGGCGAAAACGCACACACATGAACCTAACAAAAAAAAAAACAAAAAAAAAAACAAAACCGAAGGCCCATAGGCAAAAGAGAAGAAACCTGAGGCGGCCAACATTCGATGCAATCGGAAGAAAAAAAAAATTTTCGTAGGAGTATTGGACGGGTGGCCGTGGGGCTCGCGCCAAATATCGCTCGGCTGCATCTTTCAGGTGCGCTCCCTCGCAAGACGTGCATCTTGAAATTGGGCCTGCTGTCCGCCCTCCCTTTACCAGAATTTCCTTTTCTATCGCCTTCTCTACATTTTTCGCTTCCCTGTTATTTTCTACCAACGGGCTTTTTACGTACGAAGAGAGCGCCTGGCGAGGGGCGAAGGAACTTACTTTGGGGGAACGACGTTACTGCTGTGTTCTATGCGCCGGCACAGTGTTGTTGAGCAACCGATAGAAATTATGCATATACGCGAGCCACTAGTAGGTCAAGAAACGTAGGACACGACGAGAAGTATTACCGGTTCAGAGGCTTTACCGCTAAATTAAGCGATTTTCTTAGTGGCTAGCGGAGGAATTCTCGTTTCGCGGTTGGCGGGATTTTTTTTTAGCTCTTTCAAGTTACAGTAGTCTGTTTTCTGGCGTTCTAAAATGTTCTCCAATTTACATTTATCAGTCGTAAATAGCATAATTTCTGTGGTAAGTTAGTCATGGGGACGTTATTTTTCCTTACTCTCAACAAAATTGTTGCGAGTAAGAATAACGCTTGTGACATGATCCACTTGTGACGATACAAGTCACTCGCGACAATATCGCCACTCACTCGTGATATCGTCACTCACTTGTGACGATATCGTCTTAAGTCACTCACTATGGCACGAGTGATTGAAAGCTTGCCGAAGGTGGCTTCGAGAGCATGCACGTGTTTGAGGCCTGCCGCCTGTCGGTGTCGGTTGTTCATGTTTGTCGCTCTAGTAAGACTCAGGCCTGAGCAATGTGATTTAGGCTTTAGCGGTGTGACATCCTCTTTAAACTGTTAGGGGCTGCAGAAAACAACACCAACAAAACATCCCGAGCAACAGATGACCACCCTTCCAAACTCGCTACGGTGACTTCCCAAAGAGCCTCTGATGCTCCCCGTCCCCTTCCATCACCACGTTCTTTTTATTTATTTCCAGCATCAAAACCACACAGCACACCTACAGGGGGTTGAAACCCCGAGGCAGGGAACGGCGTTGGCGGCGTCGAACTTCCGAACGATGAGGCACGACGCTTCGTTAACGACCGCGTGCCGCCCGTCGCCCCCGGCACGGTGAGGCAAGCGACGGGGTTAATCGGCCGGCGCAGGACGCCGACAAAGGAGGCTCCGTGCCGCGGACGAGGCACGCAGACTTCATTACGGCCCACGACAGTCAACGGGCGCCTGAGCGGGTAAATATAGAGATGCCCGAAGCGCACGCCACGCTGCTGGACGGTCGCCGCAGTTGCCGCACGCATTTTGCGCGTCGTCGTCGAGCCAAGCTTCGCCCCAATTCCCCCCTTTTCCCGTTTACGCTGGCGGGTGGCCGGGGCAGCTAACGGGAGGAAGAGGAGGGAGGATCTGAACAGGTTTTGAACAGTTTGGACGCGTAGTTCTGGCCCACAAAAAAAACTTTCGAAGAGTCGAGACGGTTTAAGCGCCATAACTAGTTGTATACTTACAAAAAAAAAAAGAAAAAAAGAAAAAAAAAAAGAAAACGTACTCATAACAGTAATTCGTAGTAAAGGATAACCGTAATGCAATCAATAAACTGCACTTTCGAGTCGGCTGTGTCCAATCCCACTAGATTCTGTAAGGATGTAACGGCAAAAAAAAAACACCCTATAATATCATATAAGTGTACACAATATACCCTTCTTGAAACTCCAAGCCAAATTGGCGGTCGCCATTTCTTGGGCACGAAGCCTGGGACTGGATCCGAATCCTCGCCGAACCCCGACAGAATACTCGTTTTCAATACGTGATCCGAGTACGTGTCAAAGATTGGCGGACTCGGGTAATAAACCGGTGTGATTAGCCAGTTTGTCTACGCCACTGCTGCCACAATGCACCGAAGGAATTTTGGTCTTTCTGCGCATGGGACAACCTCGCGGGAGCTCTGCGAGTGCAGAGCAAGGAACGGCACGAGCAGTCTGGGGCACTGCCGCCTGCCAAGTTATTGCAGCATGGGGGGATGGGTGGCCAAGGGGGCTAGCGCACACCAGCTCGGAGCACGTGGAGCGAAAGCTCGCGCTGCAGAACCCAGGGATCCTGGGTTCGAGCCCCACCCCTGCCCGTTTCGATCTGGATGAGCATCGTACCGGCGTGCGGTCGTGTATCACTACTGCGTGATGCACGTTAAAGACCCCAGGCTAGCGGCTGTACCGCACTGGCTAAATTTCTCATCTACAGCTGGGAGACTCGTCGCCCCTGTGAGGCAGACCAAGTTCTAGGCTGTATAAACACACACACAACCCAATTTTTTTTATTGCAGCATCACGCACGCGCCGAACGCTTAAAGGGTCGCCGTTTTCTTCATGGTCCCCGATTTGCCTAAAAGCTTGCTAGACACACCAACAAACATCGCTGAACTAGTAACCCAAATATTTGGACAAAATAACTTTTTTTTGTGCAGTTACAGAATCTACAATTTTGGTCCTCATCGTGTTTTTCAAAGTGAAAAGCTCTACGGGCAACATTGAAAAAGTGACGTCATGGTTGGGTAGGAGTTCGCTCTTTGGGCTGTAGACTTTGTTCACGACTGATTACAAACAGTTTCATGGTGTCAAATGAATGGTTTGGAAGGTCGCTCCAGCTCCCGCGCAGCAGCACGATACAAATGCTCGGCATAGTTCATATTTAGACTGCCCGCTCGAACCGCAAGCCAGCCCACCCGTGACGTCAGGGCAATGAAAAGCGCGGGTATATTCGAATCTTCGTTTTGGCGTCATTTTCATTTGCCGATTTCACAATAACTATTCTGAATTTCGCGATACTAAATAGCATACCAAAAAGAGTAACGGACGGCGATTTCGAAAATACAGTTAGTTGGGGTTGCCCAAAATATCGCCGGAATTCCCCTTTAATGAGATCGGTGTATTGGTCTTGCAGATACTATAGACGTTTTACGTTTTCTTTCGTTCTCAGTCACGTGGGCTCCGTATCTGGTACGCGGGACGAAAAAATAAT